GATGTCCATGTCCTACTTCCCAGGACCTATGAATACATTATCTTCCATGGCAAAAAGGACTTAGTAGATATGATTAAGTTAAGGATCTTGAGGTGGTGAAATTACGCCAGGTTGTCAGGGTGGGCCCAGTAGGATCAAAAGGCTCCTTTCAAAAAAAAAAAGGGGGTCCTTTCAAGTGAAAGAGGGAGTCAGAGTGAAACAGTGGGTGAGTCAGAGTTTGAGAAGGACATGTGATGACAGAAACAGAGATTCAAGAAATGTACTTTGAAGATAGAGGAAAAGACCATGGCCAAGGAATGTAAGCAGCCTTTATAAGCTGAAAGAGGCAAGGTTTCTCCTCCAGAATCTCCAGATAGAACTCAGTCGTGGCAACACCTTGATTTTAACTCATGGAGACCCATTTTGGTCTTCTGACCCCCAGAACGGTAAGATAATACATTTGTATTGTTTTATGCCCCTGATTGTGAGGCAATTTGTTACAGCATTGAGGGGAAACTGATACAGAAGCCAAGTTACCAATTATCCTCACAGTTCAAAGAAAGAGTTTTTAAGGACAACACTGATCAAGCAAAAGAGTACATCACAAAGAATAAGATCAATAAATTTAATGATGTAAAATTTCTATATGTCCAAACTAAATGATAAATGACAAACTGAGAAAAATACATGTGACAAATATGACAGAGAAGAAGTCATTTTAGCATTGAACAAGAGTTCTTCCAAATTAGGGGGAAAAAATAGCATCATGATGGAAAAGTGAAAAAAGGACATAAATAGATAATACCCAGGAAGAATGCAAATGACAATAAGCATACGTTTAAAAAAAAAACCCATCTCATTTTAAATGAGGAAATGCAAATTAAAACAAAGCTGAGATACCATTTTTAATTTATAAAACTGGGACAGGCTTTTTTTTTTTTTTAACTCATATTTAAAGTGAACAAAAATTCCACCACATTGGCAGTCTAAGCTTCTGCTGGTAACAGGATTTATCCACAGGTTCTTTATTAAAAACAATGACAACAACAACAAGTTGCTCATATGTATCTCAGGTATGGAAATGTTTACATTTCTGATCCAGTGGTTCTCTATTTAGGAGCTGGGATGATTATTATTCTACCTTTCCAAATTCTTTTTTTTTTTAACCTTTCCAAATTCTTACTAGACCCCTCTCTGTTCTACATGCTGCTCTCTATGGATGAGATCCCTGGATCCCTTGCTCCCTAGCTTTTAGTTGGGTTTAGCCGATGAAGGCACTGAAAGAAGAGAGGCCAGAAGAAGGGAGATTTGGAGACAGTTAACTCCCTACCCCTGCTCCCTCTCTTCAGCTAGGGCTTTATGAGTGGCTTTGTTCCTCCAAACTAGTGGTTCTCAGATTTAAGTGCATCAGAAGCACTGGGGGAGCCTTCTGTTTGACTCAGTAGGATGGGGTAGGGCCTGAGAATTTGAATTTCTCATAGGTTTCCAGGTGTTGCTGATCTTGCTGGTCCAAGGACCACCCTTTGAGAGGCACAACTTTAAGGCCCGTGTAGGACAGCCCCGATTCCCCAGCAAAGGCTTTCTTCTCCAGTTACACTAGAGCCCAATCCTCTCCAACAAGTCTAGACGTGGTGAGGGCTTCTTTGCCAATCCTGAGCACTTTACCATTCCCTTTGCTTCCCTGGACCCTGGCCTTAACTCTTGCAATCAGCCCCTTCATTAAAGTTTCTTGAATTAGCATTTTGAATATACCATCAGTTTCCTGCTAAAATCCTGGCTGATGTAGGGATTTATCCTAGGGAAATTATCAAAGATGCAGACACAGACTTAGGTGCAAGAATGTTCTTTGCAGCATAATTTACAATAGCAAAAACATTAGAAAGAAGGTGCATGCTCAACACGGGGGAAAGATGGAATATTATGTGAATATGAGTGGCTAATTATACTGACTAATGTTCGTGGCACAATGTTTAAGTGAACCCAAGATATAAAGCCATACATAGAGGACGTTCCCAAATTTTGTAAATATACGTGGATGTTCTTGTGTGAGACTCAAATTGAGGTGAAATTGGGAAAAAAGAGTTGCTTATGTGACAATGACTACATACATAGTTTATTGGAGGAGGATTTGATTTGCCAGTATATTCATACGAGTGACAGTTTTAAACCACAGATGTAACTCCAATTTAAATTTTTCCTCCTTTATTTCCAGTTGGCTTCAGCATGAATATCACACTTAATGTTAGATACACCTAAATATGTATATCATCTATAATTAACTGATATCCTATTATATTTAATTAATAAAATTAAGATATGCTTAAATAGAGAGGAATAGGAATTATAGTCTAGCAATGGAATGAATTCTCTGTATCACAACTTCTTTCTATACAAGCCCTTTAAACATATGTGCAAATTGAATCCACAGATATTTATTGAGTGCCTACTCTCAAGGAAGTTACAGTCTAGGAGAGGACATAGGACACAAATAAAGATGCAACGGCAGTATTAGAAAGAACACTACTTGGCATTAAAACACCAGAGTCTGAGATTTGTCACAAGTGTAATTTAGCAATCTATGAAATCTTTTGCTAAATGTAGGGTATGTAGCAGGGTATGTAGTAGAACGTAAATTATAAAGCTCGATTATGGAATCAGGGAATCATGAAAAGCGTCTTTATAGGAGTCTGAATACTCTGTGGCATGCACAGCAAGTGTGTGTTTACCTACTTGGAGTTAACATTAGTCTGTCCTTCTAATTCTTCTCCCCTGAAGAAAGGCCATACACATCTACATCCTTCTCGCTACAGGTGCATAATTATGAAAGTTTGGGCATATTGGTTACATTGAGAATGAAACTTCAAAAAATCAGAGCTGATGGTTAAAACAGAGGTGGCATTATTCTCAGTGACACAAGTGAGCATGTTATTCCAGACTCTTAAACTGTAGGTTTCCATAAAGAAGACTGAGAGGGCTGCTTAGAAACCCAGCTTATGGAAAGTAAGCAGTAGAACATTTGTATGAGCTGGAGATGAAATGATTTTTCAAAATATACAATAGAAAGAAAGAAAATCCGATAACAAGATTTGAATGTAGGATAAAACTTACACATTGACCTGAGGGCTGAGCAGCTGAGATGCTATAACATTTCCAGTTCTGACATTTCCCTCTCTGATCACAGCATCCCGATACTCTAATTATCACATTCCTTTGCTCCTGCAGAACTTATTTATCCAAATAATAAAGCCCAGTTTTTACTTTTGCCTTTTCTTTCAGAATATCCATCTGCTGCAACTTCATTTACCTTCTTGCTCAGTAGGACTCTGCCCGGCCTTGCCAGTAGTGCTCTTGTCTGAACACTAGACTGGACTCTTTCATCAGCGATGAACTTGTGCCATTGCCTGCTTGCCAGACTTTGAGCTTAAAAGAAAATCCCTAAGGTCTATTTCTTTGCTCGTACTCTGAAGCTGCCAAATCCAGCTGTAGAATCACAGAACTAATCTCAACATCTGTCTAAAACAGTGATAAAAGACATAATGAGAAGTCGCTTTCAAATTCCTTCCTAATTAACCAGGAAAATATGTTAAATGAGAAAAATCTTCAATGAATGCACAGTAAAATGAAAGATAGAGTCAGATTCTGTTAAGAAATAAACTAGTCCTGCTTACCTTTTTGTGAAGTAGGATTGAAATACAAGAGACTTGTTCTTGCTCATTACTCGTTGCTACAGTGACCATGACTCAGTAACTAAAGGCATTGACGTTCCACTCATTTGAGCTTGTTGGGGCATTTATTATCAGGTAGGGAAGCCACAGAATGGTATTCTTAGGCATCCCAGGGCTCAGAAACCAGATTGTCTTCCCAAATAAGTGGTCCTAAAGGCCTGCTTCAGAACCCCAACTTTGGGATTCAATAAAAGAAGAGTGGTGGCTGAAAGTGGATTGGGGAGATAGGTAAGGTAACGTAAATATATAGGAATAAATCGAGTTTATACAAATAGTGTATATATTTGAAATAAAGTTACTTGGAAAAGATGATTTGTACCTTTCAACACAAGGACAATGATGTAGTCTATGACTACAGTGTAAATGGAAAAGGAAAAAACACATACCTAAGAGAAAAAGGAGAAGCTTTGCTGAAGGAAACCAAAGTACTGGGTTTTAGATCCTTCAAAAGGGGAGTAATGTTCTTAAGTTGCTCCTGATTTTCATAATTAGATGGTAAAAATCTAAGAACAGTTTAATTGAAACAGGATGCTTTCCTTCTTAATTATTGCAGAGAATAAGAACAAACTAATAGTCCATATCTAAAAAGGGGAAAGGGATTAAAACCCAGGAGATATAAACTAAGACCTTGTAACTCTGTGACAATTAAAATGGTCATTTACCTCTTTTCTGCCCAGAGCGCTTGCATTTTTCTGAGAAAAGCATCCCATGACCCCATCCTATTCTAGCCATAGACTCCATATAGAGATAACATCGTTTTGCATGATCTTACTTACCTGGACTGGATTGTCTGGAAGTGAATGTCTGACCTAAGTCCTGGAACCTCATCATCCCCACCCACTCCCCACCCAGCCCTGTAAACTGATCCAGCGCATAGGCTGGCACAGACTGTGAACGTCATTCTTCTCCTCTAGGGTTTATTCAACAGGCCTTGCAGGAAAGGAATTTTTTTCCTTAGGAGACAAAGCCAGGAAGATGTGTGCAGTGGTGTGTGTGGACAAAAGTAGAGAGAAGCAAAGAAGTGAGGCAGAGTAAGAGAATCTCGGCAACATCAAGTCTCTGGCTCAGTGGGTCTCTAACTGCACTCTTGTCCTTTCTGGTTGCAGGAGCCAATGAGTTTCTATTTTGCCTAAGCTAATTGAAGATAAATTTCTACATCATGCAACCAACTATATAAATGCAAACATTACGATTGTCAATGTAAATGAGTTTAATTCTCTTGAGTAAAAAGTCAAATACTCAGATTGGAATGGAAAATCAAATACGTTTATTTGAAAGAATGACTTCTGAAATAAAAGGGCAGAGTAAAATGAGTTGCAGATACTAACCCAGACGGATATTTAAGACAAATACTATTCAAAGCTGAAATCATTAAACAGGAAAGTGTTTGGAGTTGATAAATGGCATGATCTATAGAAAAGACAAAGTAGGGTTGATGGAGCTGCTCAAGAATGTCTTCAAGGAACTTTTATGTTTCTGTTTCATCATTCTTGACATGTGGCTCTCATTTTGGTTACAAGATGGACAGACACTTCCGCTTCAGACATCAGTCCTGTGCTGTAGGCAGGAAGACGAAGGGAGGGAAGGGTATGGCATTAAGAAAGCAAAACTTCTTAGGAATCACTAGCAGCCTTCTGTTTTGCATTGTATTGGTAGGTAATGTATGACACTGCCTTCACTATTGCACAAGAGGCTGAGGATTTATAAGCTGGGCATATCGCCACCCCAAATCGTAATTCTATTACCAAAAAAAGGGGGATAATGGCAATCGCATAGGCAATTTGCAGTGGCTGGCACACCTGTCAAAGGTAATGTACACTGACCTCCATCATACCTCTTTGGTTGTACTACAAATTATTTGGTGAAATACTATTGGAAAGTGATTTGGCAGTGTGTAGCCTACAAAATCTTTACACCCTCTGATCCAGTTGTTTACTGTGACATGTCTCTTCCACATTCCTCTGATTTTCATGAAAAATATTTTTCCTAAACATCCCCCTTTGCACAGCTCCTGTCTCCAGCTTCCCCAAGGAAGATAGAATGACTTCTCTGCTTAGTGAATTTAAGAAATAGGTATCCACAGGTCAGTTGTCCCTTTTTTCCTCTCGGGGGCCGTCTCCTTAGAGGAAACACACATTTTTGTAGGCTCTACTATGCCACAGATGTTTTACAGTATTAGGTCCATTGTGAGAACACAGTTGGTTATTCAGATGTGCCTCTGATGGGTGGTAAAAATGCCTAGTTCTGTGTCTCAGGCTGCCACACTTACATGTAAGTGCTAAAACTATAAATCTTTTTATAAAATCAGAGGTATAAATTGTCATCGCCTTGGATTAAGCAATGAATTCTTTGGTAAGAAGACATCAAAAGCACAAACAATAGAAAAACATATAGATTGGACTTAATACCTTCGTGCTTCAAAAGATACTGTCAAGAAAGTGGAAAGACAACCCACAGAATGTAGAAAATATTTGCACATTATGTATCTGATAAGGAGCTGGAATCGTATACACACACACACACACATTGCCGTAGGAATGTAAAATGGTACCGTCACTTGGAAAACAGGTTGGTAGTTCTTCAAAACGTTAAACATAAGATACCAGTGCAATCAAACAAAACTCTAACATTTCTTTATAGAACCAAGCTAATTTTAAATATCCCTTTAATTATTATAAAGGCTGAGTTGGAGAAAGCAGCTGTAAGTCTTTGATCCATTTCAAGTTAAATTTTCGTGTATATTATGAAATCAAGATCCAAATTTATTCTCTTGCATGTAGATACTCAGTTGTACCAGCACCATTTGAAGAGATGGATTATTCCTTCCCCATTAAGTGGTTTTGGCACTCTTGTTGAAATCAATTGGCCATTGATGTTTCAGGTTTATTTCTAGACTCTCAATTTTATCCCATTCATTTTTCTATGTATCCTTATGTTCTTGATTACTGTAGCTTTGTAGTACGTTTTGGAATTGAGAAATGGGAGTCTCAGCTTTACTATGTTTTTTAAATGCTGTTTTGTTTATTCTAGGTGCATTGCATATCCATGGGTATTTTAATGTCCATTATCAATTTCTCCAAAAAAAGTTCTCTGGGATTTTATTTTTTTTTAATTTTTATTTATTTATGATAGTCACAGAGAGAGAGAGAGAGAGAGAGAGAGAGAGAGGCAGAGACATAGGCAGAGGGAGAAGCAGGCTCCATGCACCAGGAGCCCGACATGGGATCCAATCCCGGGTCTCCAGGATCGCGCCCTGGGCCAAAGGCAGGTGCCAAACCGCTGTGCCACCTAGGGATCCCTTCTCTGAGATTTTAATAGTGATTGAGTTGAATTGGTAGATCAGTTTGTGGATTTTTGCCTGTAATTTCAGTTTCAATTTCTTCTTTAATCAAAATTATTTTTAAAAATGTTTGCCTGTCTTTCATATTGCTATTTTGTTTTTATTACAACATGATTAGAAAGTGTGACTTTGTGAATTCTGTTGTTTGGATTTCATTGCAATCATCTTTGTTCTCTGATCCCAAACCCATTTATTTGATAATATCCCCTGGTCTTTTGAAAAGAACACTCACCATATAATTCATTATGTGTGTATGAGTATGTAGATGCTTTCAAATCATGTTATTTAAATCCTTGTTTACTTTTGTCTAGGGATATGTCTGTTTATAAGATGATTTGCTAATAGCTTTCACCATGATTGTGAATTTGTATCTATTCCTAAAGTTTAAAGCCCTATACTTTGATGTTATATTGTTAGATTATGAAGATTCAAAACTGTTATACTATCATGATTACTTGTTCTTTACATTCCATGTTTTCCTTCCAGTGACTAAAGAGCATACCATATCCATTCAAAACGTTTTTTCATATTGAAGTATAATTAACATACAGTATTATATTAATTTCAGGTGTACAAAATAATGATTCAGCAATTTTATACGTTACTCAGTGCTCACCACAATAAGTGTAGTCATCAACTATCGCCAGTGTTTTTACAATCTTATTGACTATATTTCCTATCTTGTATTTTTCATTTCCATGACTTATTTGTTTTGGAACTGGAAGTTTGTACCTCTTAATCTCCTTTATCAGTTTCACCCATTCCCCCCACCACCTCTGTTCTGGCAACTACTTGTTTGTTCTCCATATTTAAGTCTGGTTTGTTGTTGTTGATCTTTTTTGTTGTTGTTCATTTGTTATTTTTTAAATTTCACATATGAGTGAAATCATTTGGTATTTGTTTTTCTCTGACTTAAATCACATAGCTTTATACCCTCTAGGTCCATTCTTGTTGTTGTAAATGGCAAGTTTTTATTCTTTATGGCTGAGTAATATTCCATTGTGTGTGTGTGTATTCCTTTGAAACTTTTAAAATGCATATTAAATTTCTATTTTACTAATCAACAACTAGAATTAATCAGCATTCTCTGAAGAAGATATTGAACTTTGGTGCTCTTTATCTTTTCCATGGCCCCCTTCACTACTTGACATATTGAAATTAGCTGGAATTCTATTTCTAGAAAATTAATTTTTTACATTGTGTATTAATAATTAGTCATAACTGTAACTTTCACAGATTCCTTTATTGTGATAAGTAAATGAGGTAATTCATGAAAAGCATTTGACACGACGCTTGGCATATGTTAATCATTCAACAGTGTTTGCAATGATGAGGATTATCAAGATCATTATCATTCTGCACAGAGCACTTCTCTCTCTACCAGCTCTCTTCTGATGATCTTATCCTCAGTTTTCATTATCACTATGACCTGGATGATTTTATAACCTACCTCACCTGCTTAGACACCATTCTTGGGCTTATTTTATTTTCAATTTTTGTTACAGATCACTACCTAAATATTCCACCAAATATTTTACCTAAAGATTCTGCTCTACATGTTGCTTTTGTGAACAGAGGTAGTATCCATCTCAATACATCCAAATTAAACCATCATCTAATTTCCCAGTTTCTAAGTCACGGAACAGGCATTCTCCCTGTTTTCTATTCTGGAAGTCTTGGAGACATCTTCATTGTTCCTCTTAGATTGCCCACATCCTCCAGCAGGATAGGTGAGCTAAGGGCCTGTATCATGTAGTTGCATGGACAGTGTTGGTCTTCCTCCTCTTCCTTTAACTTTAATACATTGTAAAATCCTGTAAACACTTTTAAAAATTCTATTCACCTTCCTCTCTATGACCCCCCTCCTCCCAATGTTTTACTCTCCATCCAGTGTTTAGTTAGACTCCTAGTTTTCTTCCTTATTTTCTGACTTCTTCTCCCTTCTGCTATCCTTAGTGTTCAATCCCCCTCAAAGATTGTGCTAATCATGCATTTATTATCTGTTACTTAACAGGTGCCTTGTTTTAAACTTTGGTCTAAAATCCTCAGTCTATAATGGAAATGGATCTGACCTACAACAGCTAGTCCCCTTAAGGACACTGTGGGTCAGTGAATCTGGTACACTGGTTCCTCCCTGAAAACCCCAAACATCCTCTGAACTTTTTGGGTTGATCTTTGATATTCTTTCTGCCTAGAAAGCTTTCTTCTGCTACCTCTGTTAAAATCTTACCTATTCAAAACCACCCGTGTCATAAAGCCTTGGTTCACATAACTTTAATTGATAAATTTAATTGTTTGTGAAATAAATTGACCTGGACTATCTACTAACCACAAATGACCACAAAATCTCATTTCTGTCTAACTTTTTCTCCTGGGGCAGTGGAAGAACTATGTCCACTGAGACAGCTTAAAGGGCCAGTAGGAAGCAGAAATAAATAAATAAACCACCCTGAGATCACCACCTGAGCCGAAATCAAGAGCTAGCAGCTCAACCAACTGAGCCACCCAGGTGCCCCATGGACCAAGGTTTCTTAAATGTACTAAGTCAAATAAAGGTGTACTCAAACAGAAAAATGCTATTTTCTATATACAAATCTTTGCTTGGAGAATGAACTAGCTAAACATGTCTCTGGATGATACAAGAGAAGGCACACAACATTGTTATGGTAGCAAACCTGAAAGAAACATGTACTTTGTCAGAAAACCAGGCCACTGAAACAGCTGTGGCTTAGGAATCGAGATCTTTCTGAATATTTGATGAAGTGCCAGAGGTTGGCCTTTGTACACAGCTTATGATTGACACAACTTTAGAAATATTCGGCTCTACATGTTACTTTTGTGAACAGAGGTAGTAATGACAGCTTTCAACCACTACACTATATAGCCTGAGTAGATGCAGGAAAATAATGGGCTGTAAGTTTGGGAGTACAGATTGCAGTCCATTTCTGGAGGACTTTGAATGCTGGTTTTGGGGTTTTGCATTGACATTTTTTTATTGTTCTTGTTTTCTGTTGTTTGTTTTTGATCTTGTAAGCACCATCATAGAAATGTGCTTCAAAAAAACTGGCCACACAGCAGAGAGTAGGTTGGCTTGGAAGGAGAATCCAGACCCACAGACTTAGCTGATGTACTTAGAATAGAATAGGAAGCAGTCAAATGAAGTAAAGGGGCAGAAGTAATAGAGAGGAGGGAAATGATGCTGATGTTGGAACTATTATAAAGGGATTAGCAACTGACCTGTGGATGATTATGATGGTCAGGATAAGGACAAGCCAAAAATAGCTCCTAAAGTTTTGACTCAGGGAAAGGAGAGAGACCATCATAAAGATGGAGGATGGAGGATGGAGGGAGGGCAGGGAGGCAGAAACCCTAGAGGAGTTAGAAAGGTTACTACTCCTTTTCCTGTGAAAATGAGTTTTTGTCTCACCTCTCCTATTTTTCCTTCTCAGTCTCTTAAAAAGCTAGTATTTCAGGCAAGTCACTAATATCAGAGCAATGCAAGTCAATTAGCTACCTCTTTCCACACAGCAAACGGAACACAAATTTTTAAAAAAACATTTTATTTATTCATTCATAAGAGACCCAGGGAGAGAGAGGCAGAGACACAGGCAGAGGGAGAAGCAGGATCCCTGCAGAGAGCACGATGCGGGACTCGATCCCAGGACTCTGGGATCACATCTGAGCAAAGCCAGATGCTCAACCACTGAGACACCCAGGCATCGCTAAATGGAACAAAATTTAATAGGATATATCAGAGCCAGTGTTTTTATCCATGTAGAAAAAAAGAGATATGGTTGTATGCTCCTAGACAGGAGTATAAATTGGGAATTTGTTTTATGATCAGAGGTCCATATACCATAGAGTTTGGCTTTTTACACTTTATTTTTTATGTTTATTTTTTAAAGATTTACTTATTTTATTTTAGAGAGAGAGTGAGCACGAGTGGGAGGGACAGAGGGAGAGGAAGAGAGAATCTCAGGCAGACTCCCCACTGAGCATGGAGCCACCATACTTGGCACTCCACCCCACGACCCTGAGATCACATCCTGAGCTGAAATCAAGAGTTGGTCACTCAGCCAATTGCACCACCCAGGTGCCCAGGCTTTTTACATTTGAAAGCAAATTTATTGACATATAATTTACATGTAACAAAATACTTCCTTTTAAGTATACTGTTCGGTGAGTTTTGACAAAAGTGTACCCATGTAACTACTACCCTAATCAAAAAGGATTTTTCATCATCTTCCCAAATTCACTCATGTCCCTTTACTGTCATTCTCTGTCCACACACCCTCTATCAAAGATATCTATTATTCTGCTTTCTGTCACTAGGAATTAATTTTCCCCATTATAATATTTCAAATAAATGGAATCATACAGTTTGTACTTTTTTGTGTCTAAATTTTAACTAGAAGAGGCAGGGGGATCTTCTCCTACTCACTAGGTGAGATGCTGCTCCATTCATGAATTATTTAATAAAACCAATTAGATCTTCACATTAAAAAAAAAGGTTTTGAAATGTCTCCAGATTGATGTGTACTAGTAGTTCATTTCTTATTATTACTGAGTAGTAACAATATGATTCCAATTTTAGTAGTTTCACTAAAACTTTCTTATATATATATATATAGTTACCAGTTGATAGATTCTGTTTCCAGTTTTTGCCTATTAGGAATAAAGTGATTAACATTCATATTCATGTAGATATATATTTAATTTCCCTTGGGCAAATACCCAGGAGTGGAATTGCTAAACCATATGGTAAATGTATGCCTAACCTTATAAGAAACTGCCAAATTGTTATCCAAGGTAGGTGTACCATTCTGCATTCCCACCAGCAACGTATGAACATACTGGTGCTCTACATCCATGCCAACATTTTGTAATAATCTAATTCTCTGTATTATGTCACTTTCTGCTTGAAATACTTCAGGTGGCATCTCTCTCCAGCACTGAACCCCACCTGATACACATGGTCCAGACAGACATTCAACACAGGGTTAAGCAGCTATTAATCAGAAGTGGAGGTAAGCAGGCAGTTTGGGGACAAGAAATTGAGTCCTGGGGTGCCTGGGTGGCTCAGTTGGTTACGTGTCTGCCTTCAGGTCGGGTCATGATCCTGGGATAGAGCCCTGTATCGCATCAGGCTCCTTGCTCAGCAGGGAGCGTGCTTCTCCCTCTCCCTCTGCCTGTTGCTCCCTTTGCTTGTGCTCCCGCTCTCTCTGGCAAATAAATAATTTTTTTAAAAAAGAAATTGAGTCCTTGGGGAGACAGATGTGCCAGACACATTCTCCATCCCAAGTAAATAATGTGCCAGCCTGATTGTCAGGGAACCAGGAAACCAACTTCAGGACAAGCTGTGCTCCATCCGACACAGTGTGTCTTGATGTGCCAGTCGATAAACTTTATCCTGGGGCTTTTGAGGCTCCTCTTGTTTCCTGTGTCTATAGACAAGTTTGATGCAGGGCAAGACTGTACCTTTAGCCAAGGTGAAGTTATCTCAGCAATGACAACTAGAGAGAAGGGACAGGGCAGATGGAATGAGCAGGGCAGCTTCAAGCTCAAAAGAACAATTTCAAGGTGAATCAAAGGCAGAGCTACTTCATAAAGCATTTAGTAGATATATGGTGCTCATTGCCTTAAGACAGGAAATAGATACACAGCTTTAAATGTGTTTTCTAAAAAATAAAAATAAAAATAAAAAAATGTGTTTTCTTCAGATACTATTAAGGTCTGTGAGTAGTCAGGCAAGTTGTCATGTCAGCATTTGGCATCTGATTTAGGAATTCCCTCAATGTTACTAATTAATGGTTAGCCAACTCTTGCTTGGACAGTTCGAGTGGCACAGTTCATTATTTCACAAACCTGCTATTCAATTTCTCTAATCTTCAGAACATTATTTTTTTGTTGTTGAACACCCAGTCATCTCTCTGTCATTTCTTCCTGTCTGCGTGTAAACATATGGTCTCTTGCTGCTTATCTCATGTTTAAAGTCTCTCTGGTATCCATTCCTCCTCACAAAAGGCCCCAATTTTCTTTTAGGAAATGATATTTCTTCCATAATTTATGGTTTTCAGAGAATAACTGGGTGCCTACCTCCTACTCTGGAAACAAAGGGTAAATCCTTCCTTTCCTTGCCCTCATAAACCCAGACATAGGTGTGTGGCCTAGGTTTGGCCAGGTGTATAATTCTCTTCAATTTTTTAATCTTGAGGGGAATGTGGCATAAGTAAAAGGAGTAGATAGAGGTCACCCAGCACAGAGGCAGGTGCCAATTGCACGATGAAATCATGAGACAGTGGCTATACTTTTGGCTGGCAAATCAATTTTTTCTACCTTTGTTATTGTTCATTTCAGAATCTGGTCCTCTAATCTCAATTCTAGGTGCCCCAGTAGCCTTCTAATGGTTTAGTTATCTTAGAGTTTCTTTCTGCTGTTTGCAATTCAAATCTCTGAACAAAATCCTTTATATGAATGGGTGAGTAGCTTTTTCCCCTGAAGGGTCTAGTCTCTGCTTATCTTACTTAGGGGCAATTTGGTTACAATGGACAGAACACATTTCAGTTGACTCAAAATGAGCGTCTCATTGAAAGAACATTAAAGAAGCCTCAAGGTACCTAAGGAGAGCAATTAGAACTGGATCTGAGGGATATGGAGCTGGGAAATGGGAAATCAGGAACTGTGGTTGGTTATTCTTTCAATCTCTCAGCGGCCATGTGTTCTTCTTCATATTAGTGTCTCTCTTGTGGGTTCACTGCTGTTTTCTGTACATATATTCTGGTTTCTATTCTTGCTGGGTTCCTGTTTAACCATCTCATTTGACCATTCATGACCTTTTAGGTTAACCTACAATCAAGTGACTACAACTCTATGTCTCTTAGTTAAAAGCAGAAATATTTGTTCCCTGACCTGCCAGTAGTAGATTGGCTGACTTTGAGGTAGGTAGTCATCCTTAATCAAATCAGCTAGGGAGGAGGCAGGGGCAGGTTAATTGTGTATCCCTCTGAAGGCAGTGGGTGCAGCAGGTCAAGGTAGAAAGTGCAGTTGGGAGCATCTGGCAAATTGACTGATTGGTCTGGAATGCTCTTGATGGGTAAATGATTCTCACAAGGCCAGACATTTTGAAAAATTGTAACCTGGGAATTGGAAGTTATTCTCTTCTAAGAAGCACCCAAGATTTCTGGGGGACCTAGGTGGCTCAGTCAGTTAAGCAGCCAACTCTTGATTTCAGCTCAGGTCATGATCTCAGGGTCCTGGAACTGAACCCCACATCAGACTCCATGCTAAGCGGGGAGTCTGCTCTCCTTCTCCCTCATCTCCTCCCCCCTCCCCTCCGCTTGTATGCACATGCACACTCGCTCTCTCAAATAAATAAATAAATAAATAATCTTTTTTTTTTTAAGAGACTCTATCCAAGAGTTCCTATTCACTAAGAATAATCCTTCTTACCAAAGAACACTTGCTTGCTTCTCAGTTGTCATCCTGATTGTAGTCAACAGTTGTCATCCCTGAGAGGCTGATAGAGACCCCATCACCTTTCTTCAGGGGCTTTCTGTGATATTCCAGGATTTCTCAAAGTGGTGTCCATGGACCACCTGCATTAGAATCTCCTAGAAACTGAAAAAAAAAAAAAATAGAATCTTTTGGAAGCCTAAAATGGAGATAAATTCCTGGAATTCACTCTAGATCTGAGTCAGCACTTCTACGAGGACTGGAGTGGAAGAAGCTGTTTACATTTTCAACAAATTCTCTAGGTGATTCTCAAATACATTAACATTTGAGAACCACTAAACCAGACTATCAGTGACTTGAGGACAGGGAAGAGCATTGGTCTTGTTCAGGATTGTATCTCTGATACATTGCCTGGCACATAGAAGATAGTTGGTAAATAAAAAATCAATAAACTCTTACACCAACAGCATAATCCTGATTATATACAAATGTATAACAACAATGATGAGGTTTAACTTAGTTATTGATCGAATCATAAACTCATGATTATATTACAATATCAATTTATTTCTATCAATTACTAAATAACACTAAAAAAAATCAACCTGTTATTGTGATACTTTTAATAGCTGGAGTTCTCCTTTTCTTTTATGTTAGACATGCTTTCAGCCCACACTCCAATTCTTCTTCCCTAAATGGCATAGGTATGGTTTTCATGTCTTGTGAGTTCAATTTCCATTACTTTCCCATCAGACCATTGCGAGGTAGAAATATTTGCCCATATTTAGCCATGCTATTCATTTTCCTATTAGTTACTTTCTGTTTCATAGTTATAGAGTACAAAAAAGGATTGTGGATGAATCAGAATGTGGGGTGGTGCTGGTCATACAGATAATGTGCAAGTAGTATCTGAGTCCTCAAGAAAGTGATAGATCATAGTTTTTCTCTTTTCTCCTTTCATTTTTAAAAAATAAAATTTTCTAAATATTACAATATTTAAAATTTTTACAATATTATAGAACAAATATAATAGCAGCTTCATGCTTTGCACTTTGTATTGCTGATTTCATGAACTTTTGGAAATTCTATTATATTTCTGACAGTTACAAACTTTTTCCTTCTGTGATACAGAGTCGAAATGCTACAACATTGCAGGGAGAGAGGCATGTTCCAGCTCTGCCTAACCCCCATCTACCTCCTCTCTTTACCAATGGCAAATTCCCTCCTCCTTCTCCCGTTCCCCTCACAATATCACCTATGGATCTTGGTGCTGACCTCCGGAGACACAGAGATTCAAGTGAGGTTGGACCAATGTTTTTTTAAAAAAATTTTCATTTATGAGAAATATCCCCCAAATTCAAAATATATCCAAAATCCAATCCCTTCTCTTTCCTTCTACTGCTCTCACCCTCGTCCAAACGGTGTCATCTCTTGCTGAATTATTGCAATAACCCGTTTTGTCTCCATACTTCCACCCTTGTCCCACATCCAATAGCCTAGTCTCAACTCGCAGAATGATGCCTCAAAAATATGTGAGATACAGTCACTCCTCGACCTTAAATCCTCCACAAGACTCCCAATTCACTCAGGCACTGGCCAAAGTCTTTGCAGTCACCTAAAAGACCCTACCTCTTCTGACATATAATAAATTCATTCAATAAATTTTCACTAAGTGAATGAATAAATTTAAAAAAACTTAATTCTCCTTACTTTCAAGTTAATTTCCCAAGTTCCTCAAAAGTTCCTTTGAGGAAATGGCTTCCAGACTTCCATTCTGGTGATCATCCTCTTCCATGAACTTTAAGGTTTTAGCGTCCTTCCTAAGATGTGGTACCAAGAGATGAACATAATGATTCAACTTCGGTTAACCAGAGAAGTTTACTCCCTACATCTTTCTATCACTGTGGTTTAGAATTGCATTAACTTTTTTGGCAGCCATGTTATAACATTGGATCACATTCTGTTTGCAGTGAATGAAAATTCCCACGTCTTCACCCAGAAGCTGATGTTAATTCAAATCTACTCATCCTTGCACTTGTGCAGTTGGTATTTTGAAACTATGTAAGGACTGCCCAAAATTATCTTCTTTCATAGAATTTGATTCTTTTTGTTCAAAGAAATTTGCATCAATGCCTCTAATTGCTCAGTTTTGCTACTATGGCAACACTGTTAGTTGTTACTATTTTTTCCAGCCATTACATTTCCCATCATCAGCTTGTCCCCCTTGTCTTCCAACTGGTGTACAACACAGAAGTGGGTTTTTTCTTTTCTAAGATTATTTTGCTATATCATTTAAATATTTCTCCTGACATGACTAATCGTAGAGAGAAGAGCTACATAGACTTCAGAAGATCTGGGTAGTGTCCTGTCTTCTAGCTCTGTGATCTTGGAGGTGTAAATGAAACTCTGTGACTCAATTTCACCACCAATGTAAAATGAGAATGATGATAATGGCATCTGCTATTCAATAGGGTTATTTCAAAGGTCAGTGAGATCATGGAAGTATCAAAGGAGTATTGATATGAAACAAGAAAATGGCTAGAGACCCTAAATTAAGTTAGAGTCAGACAAGCTTCTCTTATTTTGCTACTTTTTCTCTTTATAATATAGCTCTCCTTAGTGTGGAGAACTGGCCTGAAATTAGGGTACCTGGATACTAACCCCAATTTCCCCCACTAACTAGTTTGGGTACCTCAGACAAAGAACATAACCTGATAGCCTTTATTTTCATAACCAAAAAAAAAAAAAAAAAAAAGAAAAAAAAAAAGAAAAGGATTTGCCCATATATGTTCTAAGATCTCTCTCAACTTTTTGAATTTTTAAAAACCTGTCATGCTGGCCTACCCTGAAGAATAACACAAGTCTTATCTGTACGTTTGTCTTCATCAAGGTGTATGTCTGGTGGTTTCTATGATAATTAAGATACATATGCTACATTTCAAATAGGAGCAGAGTTGTAGTGCCTGTAAGAACTAAAGGCTTTGTAAAGGAGTCCGAAAACACCAAGCTGAAACCAACAAGGTTTTTTTCAAATAATTGAAGAACCACTTGAGCAAAACTAGAAAGAATTTCCCCCTCACTGAATGTGAGTAACTCAGACCCCACCCAAAACCCGTGGGTGCTGAGGATTTTAATAACAGTAATGCATGTTGTTTAAATAAAAACAGTTAATCTTTTCACATGAAGTTTAGAAGATGCAGACATTTGCAATCAGTTGTTTAAAAAACAGGCACCCCTTCTACACAAAAATGTCAAAATGCTGAGAAGAGAAGCTAAGTTAATATGGGCACAAAAGAGAATGACAAGTTGAGACATCACTTCCATCCAATTCTTTTCGTGAAGCTCTTTTTAATTGAAAATATGATTAAACATTTAAGATAATTAAAATCAATATCATATTATTCATGATCCCATACTATAACACAACTTTAAAAATTACTATTTTAAAATTTACAGACATATATTTGAATTCCTTGACTTCTTGGAATAATCAGCCTTAGGTCTTCATGGGAAGAGTAGTTATTCACAGGGAGGATATATGAGGAGAATCTTCAGAAATTTGGCTTAGAAGCTTCCACGACACTGCTCTTTCTGTTTTCCTCTTTCTCACCACCGGCTTGTTTTTAGTCATCTTTGCAGGTTCCTTTGCATCTTTTCTTTCCCTAAATGTTTGAGTAGTTAAGGGCTCAGTTCTCTTATTTTTTTCTCTTTTCTATGCTGCTAATTTCCATGGCTTTAAATTTCATCTATCTGCTGCTGACATTCACATTTATAACTTTAGCTTAGAGCTTCCCCCTTGAACTTTAGACTTGTGTATACACCTGCTTACAAGACACCTTTACTTGGAAGTCCCAAACAAAACATAACCAAATGAATCCCTTGCCTGCTCCCCCAAACTAACTATATTCCCAGGCTGCTACTGCTCAGTAAATAGCAACTTCTTTCTTCTGGATACTTAACCCCCAAACCTTGGAGTCATGCTTGACTTCTTTCTCTCATATCCAATATCCCATTTGTAGGAAAATTCTGCTTGGCTCTACCTTTTAAATATTTATTTATTTATTTGGGAGAGAGAGAGAGAGAGAATCCCAAGCAGACCCCACACTCAGCATGGAACCTGACACACAGGGCTTGATCCCATGACCCCGAGATCATGACCTGAGCTGAAATAAAGAGTCAGACACTCAACCAACTGAGCCATCCAGGTGCCCCATTAGCTCTGTCTTTTGAATATATTCAGAATCCAAATGGTTCTCACTTCTTCCCACTACTACTCAGTTCCAAACCATAATTCTTTTTACCTGGATTTTGCAATAACCTCCTAATTTGTCTCTTCCTTTTCCCCTTCCCCTCCTAAAGTCCATTCAGTAAACGTGGTCTTAAAAGTAAATTAGAACAGAGGGCACTTGATGTAATGAGCACTGGATATTATACACAACTGATGAATCACCAAATTCTACCCTGGAAGCTCATAATATAGTACATGTTAATTAAATTGAATTTAAATAAAGACTTTTTTTTTTAAAGTAGATTAGACCATGTTGTTCCTTTCCTCAAAACCCTATAATGGCTTCTCATCCTACTCAAAGAGATATCCAAAATCCTTACCATGGCCTAAAAGGCCCTACAAGATTTGCACTCCTCCTCCACCACTGATCTGATTTCATGTCTCATGGCTCACATCCCTTCAGCCCTCTCTCCACCAGCTTTTCTGGCCTCCTTCTTTTTCCAAGTGTGATCCACCTTACACATTCCCACTCCAGGTTTTTGTCCTACCCATTCCTTTCAGGTGCCTCCTTGAATGTCACTTTATCAGAAAGGTCTTCCTAACCACCCACATAAAATAGCACCACCCACCTGTCACCTTTACTCTCTATCCCATTTTACCTTGCTTCATTTTTCTTCTTAGTATTTTACTGATATATCACATGTTATTTGTTTAATGTCTATCTTCTTAAGCTGAAATGTAAGGCTTATGATGTCACTTTTGTTAATTGTAGCATCCCCATTACCTAGAGCAATGTTTGGCCCAGAGTAGACACTCAAAATATTTGTTGAACAAGTGATTAAATAAGTCCTGTAGTTTTAATCAGAGACTGACAAATATACATGAGCAGGTAAAAAGTAAATGTGCCATTATTTGATACAGTGAAAATGATTGAACTAGTTAACATGTGTCTGACTCTCACAAATAAAATGTTGGGCCAAAATTTAAGTTGCCGAAGAATATATACATAGACACCACATATATATGACATCATATATAAATTGTGTGAGATACATATATATACATATATACATGTATATATGGGGGGGGGAAGAGACAGAAAGACAGAGACAGAGAGAAAGGAAAGAGATGATGCCCGAGAATGATAAATACCAAATTTAGAGGGTAAAATGGCAGATATCCAAAGGGGTAGTATGGGCACAGATGTTCATGATATTACTCTAACTTTTTGTATGCTAAAGTAAAAAATTAGTTACACAGATTTTAGAGAAAGATTCTTAGGGTCTCAAAAGAGAGGTTCTTTACATGTTATGGACAATACAACTGAATAAAATTCCCATTACACAATATTGTTATTTTCAAAAACCTTTTGCACTACCAAGATTCAGGTCTTCACCTTTTTAAAAAAGAAAAAAAAAATTTTATTTTGGAACATTTCAAACATGGAAAAAATGTAGAGAGTTTAGTATGTTTTATCCCCATGTACTGGGATTTCTTCTTTTCATCAAAACAACAACAGGGAACAGCAGGGATTAGATTTATCCTCTAGCATGAAATAACTGAAAATAAACAGAAACAACAACGGTCCCAAGCCACTGGACATCAGGCAATGAAGGACAGTGATCACTAGGAAAAGGGGAACAAATGAGGTGAGCTAAGATGGCCCCAGCTTTGTCTGGAGAGAAGTTTCAGGTTTGTAGCATGGAGGGAACCCAACAACATTGCTGCTCACTGGAGACCTAGGCCTCAGAGGCGAAAGGAACAATGAAAGAACACACACCACTCAGAAATGTTCCCCTTGTATGGCTGGACAGAAAACGTTCTCACATGGAGGCAAGCAGCAGAGGTCAGGAGCAAGTCTTAGCCATGAGTGTTGGAGGAGGAATCTTTCTATCCCTTCAACAAAAACTAACAGTAGCACTCTCCCCCTGCTCTCCCCTCTGTCCATGCTTAAGCTTCTGGGAAGAACAGATAAGAAACATCAAAGGATACATGAACCAAAGTTTGAACAAACCTGATGATTCTCTATTCCTGTTTCATACAAAGTTATAACACATAAAAGATCTGTAAAAAGAACGTTTTAGGAAAGAGTTGTTTTGAAAAGAGTTGGTAATCATAAACTGGGTGTGTTCAGATCTCTTGGTTCTCTGGGTTCAGATCCACTGCTCCTATGGTGTGGGGTAGGAGAAAAGTTCATATGAAAATTCCCTATTGCTGCTTAAGTAAACCAAATCTCTACAACAGCCTGCACCATGAGCCTCTTTGTGGTATATTCCTTAAATTTCCTGCTGTTTGTCTCTTATTTGTATCTCTAATGTATAGGAGTCTTATCCCTAACATACTTCTTTGCATGCCATCTCGAAACCTTCCTAATGCTATCCTGTGACATGTGGCATTACTTGATTACTCATTCAACACATTTGGCAAAAAGCTAGGAGTTGGGAGGGACGTACATTTCAATCAGACACAGATCCTCATCTCAAAGAACATAGATGGGGAAATAAGGCAAGTATATAAATAACTATAATGAAAGGTATGATAATATATAATAATATATACCATAAGAAA